AGGGAAGAAAGTGGAGGTGCCCATCTATAACTACGTCACGCATTCGAGGGAAAACCGCACGGTGAGTTGGTATGCTGCGAATTTGAATCTTATCCCCCTTATCTAAGGTCCTACACGAGAATCAGCACCAGCGTTCTATATTCTGGTCACCGAGCACGCAGAATTTCGTCCAATGACCCCAAGCTACCCATCCTTATCGCTCGCGCGTAATTATATCGCTGTCGCGACTGTGCGACGAGCGCCTGCAGTGAGTGTGCGAGCGCGACAGCAACATAATTAGAATTACACGCGAGCGATAAGGATGGGTAGCTTGGGGTCATTGGACAAAATTCTACGTGCTCGGAGACTGCACTTTACACGGAGCTCCTGATCAGTATATAACGAGACTGCGGGAAGGCAAGAAAGTGGAGGTGCCCATCTATAACTACGTCCCACACTCCAGGGAGAACCGCACGGTGAGTTGGTATGGTGCAAATTTGAACCTTATCCCCCTCAACTAAGATCCTGAACGGCGTGGTACAGAGACTGCGGGAAAGGAATAAGGTGGAGGTCCCTCCAGGGAAAACCGCACAGTGAGTTGGGATGGTGCGAATTATCTTCTGTCTGTGATTTTTCCGTACATAAAAAAAATCCTCGGGTATTTTACACAGCACCATCTAGTCCCAAAATAAATGACCACTAGTTCCAGTACTGACATTATTTATTTATTTATTTCACCAGAAAAATGATACCCTGTCCTTGTTTCAGAAGTAAAAATATGTCAGACAGAGACACTATAGCATTTTTGTATACATAGATGGTAAATGATTTGCAAAACATATCACCAACTTCTGGCAACAAGAAAGAAAAAAATTGACTGATCGACTGAGTTTCTTCCCACCACTATGGTGGCGTTAGAAGAATATTTATAATTTCGAAACACGAATCGACAATCCGACACTGACATCGTTTAGCTATTACAGTAGAACGCCGATTATCCGAACGCCGATTAACCGAATCGCCAATTATCCGAATCAGTCCTAAGCGTAATATAAAAAATTAAAACCAAGTAATTTTGATTTGCTTTTTTGGTACTCAGATATTTTCAACTAAGCGTTATTGTAGCAGTTCTGCAATAACCCTAAGTAGAAATATATCTGTTTGTTAAACTTATTAAAGTTTATTCTATGTGTGACAGTACGTTTTTCTCTATTACCAGTCTATGTCCGATTATCCGAATCGACCCCGGTCCCAATTAATTCGGATAATCGGCGTTCTATTGTATCGAGCTAACTGTATGTACTAGTGCTCTGAAAAAAGTCTAACTAACCTATTAATTAACGACTAGCGGCCGCCCGCGACTTCGTACGCGTGAATCCCGTTTTTCCCGCTAATTCCCGTTCCCGTGGGAATTTCGGGAATTCCTTTCTTAGTGCACCTCTACGGTACCCAAGCTACGTCCCTTCCAAATTTCAAGTGCCTACGTTTAGCCATTTAGGCTGTGCGTTGATCTGTCAGTCAGTCAGTCAGTTTCTCCTTTTATATATTTAGATTTGTTTCAGAAAACCATGTATGGCGCGAACGTGATCATCTTCGAGGGTATCCTGGCGTTCTACAACGCTGAAGTCAACAGCATGCTGGACATGAAGGTGTTTGTCGACACCGACGCAGATATTCGCCTCGCAAGGAGATTGAGGAGGTAAGCAACCAAACTATCTAATACTATTTATATCCATGTTCACTTACGTTATGCTGTTTGGTCACCTGCCATCCGCTTTGCACTGGAGGCGTAGTGTGTACATCAAACGTCGTTACTAGTGAGCGCGTAAAAAATTACATTCAATGTATGAAGGATTGTACAGCGCCCCTAGCGGAAACCTTCAAGAACTAAAATGTTCATATATTTTTTTAACGCGCTCACTAGTGAGGACGTATGATGTAAACTGACACTTAGCCCTCTGAAGGGAAGTTGAACCCTAACTTCGAACTCCTCCTATGTTCTTCTGATTAAATTTGTTGCGGGTCCAATGACAGCTTAACTTTCCCACGGGATAAACTTGGCCTTCACTGGTTGAGTTTTTGTCGGCGGTCAAGGTGTAGATCCTGGCTGCACAGGAGTTGCAGCGTGGAAACGAGAGGTAGGAAAAGTCCCGGTACGTTATGCTAGTCATAAATTTCAAAATGTTTGCAAAGATGCCATAAGTGACGGAAACTATTTGCAAATATTTTTGCAAATTATTTTTGGGCAAAGTTGTTCAAGTCCTATTGCGATAGATTGTACTCATTTAAAGATTGTCGCCCATTATGTGTGCTAAATATCGACGTCACACGGACGCGTAGCTGATAGCAAGAGCATAGAAGAGAGTTCTTGTGGCACATCTGCCCTCCTAGACAAGTTGCACTTTTTAATCGAATCGAAAATCGAATCCGTCAAAACTCCAAACAAAAAAGGGCCTTTCGGACATTTCGACTGGTTTGCGATTATAATGTGCACTTTGTCTAGCTAGATCCACTGGTCTTGTCACACCTCGCCTCTGATAGCAATCACACAGCAGTGAGNGCTAAATATCGAAATGATCCTCATTGTCAGGGAGGTAGTTTAGAGCCAGGAGAAGGACATAGGATACTTTTTATCCCGTTCGAAATAAAAAAAGTCTGCTTATTTATTGACATTAAGGCGGAACAAAGTTCGCCGGGTCAGCTAGTGTTTAATAATAACATAACATTATTGAAGATGCCATTAATTGTTCAGTATTAAAAAGATAACCAAAGAACTATTTTACCTAGTTACGGACTGAAACATAAAAAACTTATGAATATTTCGATAAAAGTTTTTATAGGTAATAGAAAATAAATTAAAGCTACGTAGCATTAAAGTAGCAAGTTATCGATAAGAAATCATCGCCACTGAACACTAATGCTTGCTATTTCAGCCATTGTAAACAGTCTGAGTTGGCAATTAGATGAATTCGCTACTTTAGTATTTTTTTGTTCTAAGGGCAACACTCCCAATTAGTTCGAATACAAGAATACGACACGTGCATGTAAAAGATTTAATACAATTGATAATAAAGGCTGTAAAATTTAATGACAAGGAAGGTCATTTATACAGGGTGTTTTTTAAATGTTCATACAAAATAAAATTTATAAAATCAGATTTGTATGAAAATTAAAATAATTACAATGATGATATCAATTTTCTGACTTCACCATACCATTTATATGCATATGTTAACATGGGCTAGTGTCGGCTCATAATATACCTACCCATTTACCTAACACCCTGCAGAACGAGCAAAATTACACCTGAAATATTATGAACCAGAATTATATCAGAAAAATAGCCTCCCATGTCTCCCGAAAATCAGCGATTTCAGACGATCCTGAAATAATTAAATTAAATTAAAAATTGTTTATTGAAATAAAGTTTTATACAATATTTGTGCGGAGGCTTCCCAGTAAGTAATCTGAGATACTTGTGCTGGGAATGTCTCTCATCTTTCCACACGGTAAACAACAACGGCGTCCTTTATAACATAATTTTTAGGTAGTTCCATAGGCCAGTAGAATTAAACACAAAAATTGATTAAATCGGAAATAATTCCTACAAAAGTTTTTTTCTTTAATGGCTTCATTGGTTGCCCATTAAGACTCTCCTAGGTTTTCGACTTCGACGGAGTTGTGCTTAAGTGGTGGGGGCCCCCGAAAGGGGCGTTTTTTCGGTTTTCCGGTTATACCGCGTAAAGGACTTACCCTTACCTTGATAGGGTAAGTCCTTTACGCGGTATAACCGGAAAACCGAAAAAACGCCCCTTTCGGGGGCCCCCACCACTTAAGCACAACTCCGTCGAAGTCGAAAACTTAGGAGAGTCTTAATGGGCAACCAATGAAGCCATTAAAACAATAAATTCTTTTGTAGGAATTATTTCCGATTTAAAAGCTAATTCTACTGGACTACCAACAGTTTTACAAACATTTTACCTTTTTTATTTATTTTTTCTTTAAATGCTGAACCATTTTGTGGCCAGGATGTAAGATATGGCATTGCGCAGTCATTACCTTCTGTCACGTCAGCAAACATCGCCGGAACCGTTAATTGATCTCGTTCAAACAATCGGGTGACATTGAACAAGTGATGCCAGGGCTGCCAAATGGTCATTTTATATTATAAAAATAATTTCAGGAGGAATAAGCATTTGTACTCCAATGAGGCTGGTTTAAATTTAGAGGACGAAATAAATTGTTTTCATATTCGTACAAAGTTTTTGTTGATAATTTTGATCATAATCGATATTAGGTAGATATTACGTTATTTTCAGTATTGTGGGCATGGTAAATTGCAATTTAAATACATAACTCGTACTAATACATACACACACATTAGACCATTCATAGAGCTTATGCTAGAGTTTAATATGCGCCAGAGTGACCTTTGAAGCAGTGCCGTAACTAGCCTTTTATGCGCCCGGTGCGAGAAATATAAAAAAAATGTAACCTTTTTGAATAAAAAGTAACCTTCTACGGGGGGGGGGGGGTGCAGAGCGTGCATGAAACAAAACTAGATACTGGTCTGGTCATTTCTGCGCCCCTCCAGGGTCTGCGCCCTGTGCCTGGGCACCGCTGGCACCGCCCTAGTTACGGCACTGCTTTGAAGTGCATTGGCTTTTACAATCTACCAAACCACTTTAGTATAAAATAATAATTATTTAGTAATGTTGCCAACCCTATAATTTTTTCCTAGATCATACCCAGACACCGTGACTGACGATCGCAAATAGCAAATACTCGTACTTAACTCAATGTTATTAATTTTGGCCACTCAACAATTTGATTGTCTAACTAGCTAACTAGTTAGACACGGAATGAACTCGTGCTCGGAGTTAAGTTTCTATTTCTTCTTCTTTTCAACACTCAAATTAATTTATAAAAAATGTTACCTACATTACATTTACATTTGAATCTTTTTAGTGATTAAGCTGAAGGGGATATTAAAAAACTGACGGCTAATTCGTTGGTTCCAGGCTCGAACATCCTAAAGTCGCCTCGAGCGCGGCGCGTGCGCACCACGTCGATGTCGCAGCCCAACAAGCGCACCACAGCGGAGAGCATTCTGCATGCTGATCGCCGCACCATCTACACCGCCGGTCGCCCGCCCTGGTACAACTGCACCGGCGGACAAGAGGTCGAGCCCTTCCTCATCGGTGAGTCATACAAACTTAGTAACCCATTTCAAGAAAGAGGTCAATCGTCGAATCCAACTCTGCTGGGCAGCCCTTGAGAAACTACAACATCTTATCGTCCAAAATACCTCAGTGCCTTTTAAGGCGAAAGTCTATAATCAGTTGGCTCCGAAACGTGGCCTCTCACTATAAGCCTCATGAAGAAAGGCTATGCTCGGTGTTTCTTTACGAGATCAAATCAGAAACGAGGAGATTCGTAAACGAACTAAAGTCGCTGTCATAACCCGATGGATTAGCAATCTAAAGTGGCAATTGGCAAAGCACATAGAGCTCGCAGATCTGACAGCCGATGGGGCAACAAGGTTCTGGAGTGGAGGCCACATGCTGGAAAGCGCAGCGTAGGACGTCCACCCAAGGTGGCGACCAACCGGTCATTATGGAAATCATTGGGGGAGGCCTATGTTCAGCAGTGGATGTCCTCCGCCGAACCATCTACACCGTCGCCCGCCCGCCCTGGTACAACTGCACCGGCGGGCAGGAGGTTGAACCCTTCCTCATCGGTGAGACCACTATTTACATCATCGAAAACAGATTTAGCTCTGTCTATTTTTAAAGTTTTATCAGCAAAGTAACTACATCACAAAGATGTTCGGTAAAGTAAGGCAGGTCATTTACATAGATTAAAAATAAAGGAGGTCCTAATATACAGCCCTGGGGCACGCGCGTACGTAATGGGACTCCAGACGAATCGGCTCGATTGACATTAACTTTTTGCATCCTGCCTGTAAGGTACAGATTGATCTGAGACACACGCTGCCCTAAAAATTCCTAAAATCAAGTGGCAGTGGACGGGGCACATAGCTCGTAGAGCTGATGGCCGCTGGGGCAGAAAAGTTTTTGAGTGACGACCACGGGCTGAAAGACGTAGTGTAGGCAAGCTCCCCGACCGAAGATCTGGTGAAGGTCGTGAGGAGACCCTGGATGCGAGCAGCGCAGGGCCGGTCGTTATGGAAGTCCTTGGGGGAGGCCTTTGTCTAGCAGTCGACGTCATATGGCGGCAACGAACGAACGAATGCCGTAAAAAACAAACGTTACTGAATCCAGAAACATTACATTGTGTATAGTCTGGTCTGTGAGCACGTAGAATTGTGTCCAATGACCCCGAGCTCCCTATCCTTGTCGCTCGCGCGTAATTATGTTGCTGTTGCGCTCGCACACTCACTGCGGGCGCCCGTCGCACAGTCGCGACAGCAATATAATTACGCGCGAGCGATAACGATGGGTAGCTTGGGGTCATTGGACAAAATTCTACATGCTCGCAGACCAGGCTTTAGTGCCTACTACTCTCCTTACTATAATCAGCCATCTAAAACATACTATCAGATTAAGAAACCAAGGTTTATAGAATAAGCGACAAGCGTACCTATTACCAATAACAGAGCGTTGATTTTCAGGTTGTTTTTGTTCGAAGGTATTTGCGGCGCGAGCGCGTCGGGCAAGACCACGGTCGCCGCCAAGATCATAGAATCTCTCAACATACCCTGGGTCACTATCGTCAGTATGGACTCCTTTTATAAGGTACGTCAAGGAAAAGCAAAGCATACTTCCTATGTATGACACAAACTGAAGGATTTGCCACGCTGGATGCGGTCTGCGGTCAGGTCAAAGTGAATGCAGCTCGCCTCGTGTACGAACAACAGGTTTTTGTACATTTTGTATTACATTTTGTATTGATGTGATCTGACCGTGCAAAGAACGCATCCAGTGTCCAGTGGCGGCGTAGCATGGGTTGGCACCCGGGGCGATACCCCCCCTCCCCCCGTCACAAGTCCCATGGCACCCCCTGGTATCCCCCAGGATTTTGGGGTTACCTACCGATTCGAAGATTGAAAGCCAATCGCACCCCCCACCCCCCCGTATCATGACATAGACCGCAGATTTGCCATGCAGATGCGCCAGTGAGTACTAATCTGCGCGACTTGTGTCACCCCCTGATGCTTGGCACCCGGGGCGGACCGCCCCCACCGCCCCCCCCTTACGCCGCTACTGCCAGTGTCTCCTTTATACAAACTGGTGTAGCCATGTGCCTATATGGTTTTGTGAAGTTTGACGCAAAAGTTATTTTAACCTCTGTTGCAACTCTTATGATATAAGAAGATAAACATTTTACATGAAAATGTTTACTGAAAACGCCTCTCGTATGGCTCTCATATAGAACTTTTAACTCTACACCTAAGTAAAAATACATAAATGTGGCATAGTCGTTTCGCTGTTATCACATGGTGAAAGTAACGAAACGGCCAAACCACCTATTTTGATTTTATTTTTGAGGAACTTAATAACAATTTGAAATTTAACCTTATCCCCCTCACCCAAGGTCCTCAACGAGAAGCAGCATCAGCAAGCGACCCGCAATGAATACAACTTCGACCACCCGGACGCGTTCGACATGGAACTCCTCATCAGTGTACTACAGAGACTTCGAGAAGGGAAGAAAGTGGAGGTGCCCATCTATAACTACGTCACGCATTCGAGGGAAAACCGCACGGTGAGTTGGTATGCTGCGAATTTGAATCTTATCCCCCTTATCTAAGGTCCTACACGAGAATCAGCACCAGCGTTCTATATTCTGGTCACCGAGCACGCAGAATTTCGTCCAATGACCCCAAGCTACCCATCCTTATCGCTCGCGCGTAATTATATCGCTGTCGCGACTGTGCGACGGGCGCCCGCAGTGAGTGTGCGAGCGCGACAGCAACATAATTACACGCGAGCGATAAGGATGGGTAGCTTGGGGTCATTGGACAAAATTCTACGTGCTCGGAGACCGGGCTTTACACGGGAGCTCCTGATCAGTGTGCTACAGAGACTTAGAGAAGGGAAGAAAGTGGAGGTGCCCATCTATAACTACGTCACGCATTCGAGGGAAAACCGCACGGTGAGTTGGTATGCTGCGAATTTGAACCTTATCCCCCTCATCTAAGATCCTAAACAGCGTGGTACATAGACTGCGGGAAGGCAAGAAGGTGGAAGTCCCCATCTATAACTGTGTCACGCATTCTAACGAGAACCGAAAGGTGAGTTGGTATGGTGCGAATTTGAACCTTATCCCCCTCAACTAAGATCCTAAACGAGAATCAGCACCAGCGTTCAAATGGAACTGCTCATAAGCGTGCTACAGAGGCTACAGGGACGGAAGAAAGTCGAGGTGCCCATCTACAACTACGTCACACACTCCAGGGAGAACCGCACGGTGAGTTGGTATGGTGCGAACTTGAACCTTATCCCCCTCAACTAAGGTCCTCAACGAGAATCAGCACCAGCGTCCGATATGGAACAGTTGCTGCAGAGACTTCGGGAAGGGAAGAAGGTGGATGTGCCCCATCTATAAATGTGCGTGCGGTGCGAATTTGAATCTTATCCCCCTCATCTAAGGTCCTAAACAAGAAGCAGCTTCGACCACTTGGACGCATTCGACATGAAACTCCTTATTATTCTGCAAAGAAGGTGGAGATGCCCATCTATAACTACGTCACGCACTCGAGGGAAAACCGCACGGTGAGTTGGTATGGTACGAATTTGAATCTTATCCCCACCATGTAAGGTCGTAAACAAGAAGCAGCTTCTACCCGGACAGAGGTCTCCATCTATAACTATGTCACGCACTCTAAGGATAACCGAACGGTGAGTTGGTATGCCGCGAATTTGAACCTTATTCCTCTCCACTAAGGTCCTAAACAAGAAGCAGCACCATCGTTCCACATGGAACTCCTCATCAGCGTGCTACAGAGACTTCGGGAAGGGAAGAAAGTGGAGGTGCCCATCTATAACTACGTCACGCACTCCAGGGAAAACCGCACGGTGAGTTGGTATGCTGCGAACTTGAACCTTATCCCCCTCAACTAAGATCCTGAACGGCGTGGTACAGAGACTGCGGGAAAGGAATAAGGTGGAGGTCCCTCCAGGGAAAACCGCACAGTGAGTTGGGATGGTGCGAATTATCTTCTGTCTGTGATTTTTCCGTACATAAAAAAAATCCTCGGGTAAACACAGCACCATCTAGTCCCAAAATAAATGACCACTAATTCCAGTACTGACATTATTTATTTATTTATTTCACCAAATTCCGTAACAGAAAAATGATACCCTGTCCTTGTTTCAAAAGTAAAAATAAATGTCAGACAGTCACTATTCGCTGGGTGCGAAGTACTAGGTGGGGGTAACATAATATATCGCAGCGCTCATGGTGGTCAAAAATAGAAATAATGTAAGCTCTGTCATCAGATGTATCTGTCAATGGCAAAGCGATTCTACATAATACATTTTAATATCATTAATTAATCGCATGAAAAGGGTCCTACTGGGAACTTAAATAAAAGAGTGGACTGTATTTCGATAGGGCTGGTTTAATAGCCGTTTACAATTTGGAAATAACTAGACTATACAACGTGGTAGTACAAAAATGAGTCACAGTAGTTGTTGTGCACAAATGTTTGCCTTATGATGAGGGCGTGAATTATTGAACTCTGCCCTTGTTTTGTTCTCAATTCTTCTACATCTCGGACTTGTCCAGCCAATACCAACAACTTTCCTTTAAATACGGTTTGTGGTTGGAATTTGATATTGTAACACTCACAAATCAGGTCTTCAAAACAATACTCATTTAGATCTGAAAACGATATTTAATTTATTACTAGCGATACAGGAACATTTAAATACATTTACTGTTATATAATGAAACCGTTAAAGTAGCTTTTTCTTTTTGTTTTACTGTAAAACTACAACTATAAATAAAGTAAACAAACCCTGACACAATCAAAATTAAACACACTTTTCGGACTTACCTCATTTGATTTGAATGACCAAAATGATTTCAAAACCTTTTTTCCACCCAAATCGTGGTATCACAACAATTTATTAGTCGAAAATATTTGTTATTTTTTCATTTCGATATTTTTTCACAAATATACGACCTAAATGTCAATGTGACAGAGCCCACAAAGTTGTGGACGCTAGTTGGCGCTGTAATCGTGCACAGAGCCAATAGCATTTTTGTATAGATGGTAAATGATTTGCATAACATATCACCAATTTCTGGCAACAAGAAAGAAAAAAATTGACTGATCGACTGAGTTTCTTCCCACCACTATGGTGGCGTTAGAAGAATATTTATAATTTCGAAACACGAATCGACAATCCGACACTGACATCGTTTAGCTATTATCGAGCTAACTGTATGTACTAGTGCTCTGAAAAAAGTCTAACTAACCTATTAATTAACGATTTGTTTCAGAAAACCATGTATGGCGCGAACGTGATCATCTTCGAGGGTATTCTTGCGTTCTACAACGCTGAAGTCAACAGCATGCTGGATATGAAGGTGTTCGTCGACACCGACGCAGACATCCGCCTCGCAAGGAGATTGAGGAGGTAAGCAACCAAACTATCTAATACTATTCGTTTGGTGTAGTGGTTCAGAACGGACTACTATGCCGAGAGGTCCCGGGTTCGTTTCCCGGCCGGGCAGAAATTGAAATGATGAATTTTAATTTCTGTGACGGGTCTGGGTGTGACTATGTATAATATTTATGTATTTAAAAAAAAAAGTATATAAGTAGTATATCCGTTAAGCTAGCACCCATAACACAAGCATTAAGTTGCTTACTTTGGGGCTAGCTGGCGCTGTGTGAAATTGTCCAAAGATTTATTTATTATTTATTATTATTATTATTCATTTCCACATTCACTTAGGCCCGGTTTCCACCAAAGCGGAGCGGAGAAGTGTGTTGATTAACCAATCAGATTTCATTATTTCCACTTCTCGTCTCCGCTTCGCACAGCTCCGCTCCGCGCCGCGCCGCCGTCTCCGTCAAATTCTATAGAGAAATTTGACGGCCCGACACTTCTCCGCTCCGCTTTGGTGGAAAACGGGTCTTACGTTATGCCAGTCATAATTATCAAATTGTTTGCAAAGATGCACAAGTGTCGGCACCATATGCAAAATATTTAGGCAAAATTGACCAAGAGTTCTATTGCGATAGATTGTACTCATTAACAACACTTGTCACCATTAATTTACGTGCACTATCTTTACAAAAATGTTTGCGTAACGTGTTCGTTCGTTCGTTTCAGCCAAATGACGTCCACTGCTGGACAAAGGCCTCCCCCAAGGTTTTCCAAATTACGTGTGTACCTAAAGGAAATTGTAATTGCAGGGGGAAATTTTCTGAAAACATTAAAGGAGTTATAAATATATAAAAAAAATCCTTGCGGCACATTTGGTGTTCTCACACCTCACCCCTGATAGCAATCACAAAGCAGTGAGCAATATTTTAACTTCGAACAGCCTGTCCATTGTTACTTAGAAGTTTACGTTCAGTGCATATTGTATAGAAAGCTCTCTATTCCAGAGACATAGTGCAGCGCGGGCGCGAGTTGGAAGGCGTATTGAAGCAGTACATGACATATGTCAAGCCTGCCTACCAGAGTTACATCGCTCCTTGTATGGCGCACGCGGACATTATAGTACCAAGAGGAGGAGAGAACAAAGTCGCCATACAGCTCATCGTGCAACACGTACACAAGCAGTTACAGCTGGTGAGTGCCGAGCATTCGCGCTAACGTTCGCAGCGAGCACGAGCGAGCATGTCGCACGCAAGTCATTATTGTACATGACATATGTCAAGGTTGCCTACCAGAGTTACATCGCTCCTTGTATGGCGCACGCGGACATTATAGTACCACGAGGAGGAGAGAATAAAGTCGCTATACAACTCATCGTGCAGCATGTACACAAGCAGTTACAGCTGGTGAGTGCCGAGCATTCGCGCGAACGTTCGCAGCGAGCACTAGCGAGCATGTCGCATGCAAGTCATTATTGTACATGACATATGTCAAGCCTGCCTACCAGAGTTACATCGCTCCTTGTATGGCGCACGCTGACATTATAGTACCACGAGGAGGAGAGAATAAAGTCGCCATACAACTCATCGTGCAGCACGTACACAAGCAGCTACAGTTGGTGAGTATTCGCGCGAACGTTCGCAGCGAGCATGACGCACGCAAGTCATTTTTGTACCAAGAGGAGGAGAGAATAAAGTCGCCATATAACTCATCGTGCAACACGTACACAAGAAGTTACAATTGGTGAGTATTCGCGCGAATGTTCGCAGCGAGCATGTCGCACGCAAGTCATTATTGTACATGACATATGTCAAGCCTGCCTACCAGAGTTACATCGCTCCTTGTATGGCGCACGCTGACATTATAGTACCAATAGGAGGAGAGAATAAAGTCGCTATACAACTCATCGTGCAACATGTACACAAGCAGCTACAGCTGGTGAGTATTCGCGCGAACGTTCGCAGCGAGCACGAGCGAGCATAGGGTACGCAGACATTATCGTGTCAAGAGGAGGACATGTCGCACGCAAGTCATCATTGTACCACGAGGAGGAGAGAATAAAGTCGCCATACAGCTCATCGTGCAACACGTACACAAGCAGTTACAGCTGGTGAGTGCCGAGCATTCGCGCGAACGTTCGCAGCGAGCATGGCGCACGCAAGTCATTATTGTACTAGCGAGCATGTCGCACGCAAGTCATCATTGTACCACGAGGAGGGTAGAACAAAGTCGCCATACAATTTCCAATATAGTAGAATAGGATCACCCCCACTCTTCCCGTGGATTTCGTAAAAGATAACGAAAGAACAAACATGCGAATACTCCACTTTAGTATGATAGATAGATAAAACGATTATTTGCATAACAGAATACGTATGCGATCCAACTAAGCGTGATTTCGCTTTAAGCGAGTCCAATTCACAGAGTTCCCTATCTTTACTAATTAATTATAAATTAAAAAAATAATGCCGTATTTTCATATTATAGTCATTAACTTCTCTTTGGTCGCGGGGGGAGTCCTGTTTTCTCTATCCATTGTGATTGAAAAATGGGGGATTCCCTTGATTTGATTACTTCCTTTGTTCCATGTGTTTATCTCCACTGGCAGTCGTGTTTTAACGTTTAATGGAGATACATAATTTAACTGAAAGTAACGTAATTTACAAAAGTATTAAAAGAAACGCTACCCAAAAGAAAATAGGTGTAATTTTCCGTAAAAACATCATACTGCAGTTTGTGTTCTTAGAGTAACTTTTGACCCGATATACGTGAAATTCACTTAACGTACTTTTGTGGAATCCTATCGTAAAGCGGTTCAAGCCTTATTTATAGACCAAATACTCCATTTGCCTGTTTTAATTTAGAAAAGATTGTGCTCCTGTATTGGAATTTAAACAACCTGATAAAATGTGTGCGACTGTACGCAATGCATCTTCCCCTGAGGTAAATAATTCGTCCGTTCTATTTACTAAGACTATTGTTTTTTATTTCGACTCAATCTATACTCATTATTATAAATGCAAAAGTAACTCTGTCTGTCTCTTTTTCACGCCTAAACCACAGAACCGATTCTGTTGAAATTTGGCATAGAGATAGTTTGAGTCCCGGGAAAGGACATAGGATAGTTTTTATCCCGGTTTTTGAAACAGGGACGCGCGGGATAAAGTTTTCTGTGACAGACAAAACGCGGGCGAAGCCGCGGGCGGAAAGCTAGTATTCATTACTTTATTGCATTTTACAGTGTAGATAGTGTTGACTTAAAGCTATTTGAGTTCTTTTATATTTCCAGCGCGGATTCAAAGTGAGGGAGAAGCTTGCCATCGCTCACATAGGCCAGCCGGTGCCAGACTCGCTCTTCGTCTTGAAGGATACGCCCCAAGTAAGTACACGCAAACGAATAAGAAATAATGCCGCTTTTAAATTATTCACTATCATTCAATGTCACAATAGGCTGGTAAAGTTCATGCAATTAAAAATTTCTCATTCATGTCGAAAAAATATCTAAATTCTTACTTATGATCAAGAAGTTTTAGTCTAGGTGCAGACCGCCAACTTTTTGTCGGCCGATAGTTTAGTCGGGCAGTTAATTAGTATGGGCATATATGAAAGTGCGCAAATTACACCGATTGATTCTTCATACAAATTAGAATCGGGCCCAACTATCGAGCGACTAAAAATCGATGGTCTGCGCCTAGGCTTACAGTACCTACATTCCCCAGGGCTTATTCCACTATTCCCCGTTGACAATCCCCGTCAACGGGGATTAGTAAACTTTTTGTTCACTATTACCCGTTAACGCCAATTGGAGATTTATAATGGGGAATAATGAACTAAAAAGTTCACTAATCCCCGTTGACGGGGATTTTCAACGGGGAATAGTGGAATAAGCCATTCCTAAGATTGAACAACCGACCTTGCAAAATTTTAGAGTGCTTTCATCTATACTTATAATAAAACTCGATGCTGTGAATGCTGAATGGTATAAAATTGAGGATACCGAGGATGTGAACGAAAAGGTCTCTCTTTTTAATCAAATTCTACTTGAATTATACGATAAGCACGCTCCTATTCGACCTGTCAGAATTAAACATGTTCCTGCACCTTGGTTAACGGATGAATTAAAATCCTTACGCAACAAGAAAAACGCTGCTAAATTAAGGTTTAAACTGGACCCGTCCGATATTAACCGCGAAAAATATAAAAATCTGCGAAATCGCTGCAATACTATGTGTAGAGACGCTCAAAGACGCCATATCCACAAGTCTGTAGAAAATGGAGATCCAGCTAAAGTCTGGAAATTCTTAAAGTCTATTGGAATTGGAAAAATACGTAATGATACTACTCCCAAAGACATTAACTTCGATCTTTTGAATAAACACTTCTCAACTTCTGGTGCTCTTGATGACACAGTTAAAAATAAAACCCTAAGTCAACTTTCAGTGCTTCCAACTCCAGACTATTCAGCTTTTACTTTTAGCCCAGTATCTGATTGTGATGTTAAGAAGAACGTATTGTCCATTGCTTCGAATGCCGTCGGAAATGATAATATAAGCCGGAACATGATCGTTCCATTGCTTGACATCCTTTCCCCCATTATTACCCACATCCTGAACCATTCTCTCTCCACAAGTATTTTTCCTGCAATATGGAAAGATGCTCAAGTGACTCCTCTCCCTAAAAAGTCAAATCCTACATCTTACACCGACTACCGTCCTATATCCATACTTCCTTTTATCTCTAAAGTAATGGAACGAATCGTTCATCACCAGCTCAGTACTTTCTTGGTCGGAAACCAACTCCTTAACCCTTTCCAATCTGGTTTCAGACCTGGGCATAGTACGACTACTGCATTGGTTAAAATCATGGACGACATTAGACTCGGCATGGACTCAAAGCAACTTACTGTGCTAGCGTTGCTAGATTTTAGCAATGCTTTTAATACAGTCGATTTTGACATACTAATCGGGATACTGCGTTCTCTTAACATATCTCCGACAGTTCTGGGCTGGTTCCATAGTTACCTGCACGGTCGCCGACAACGCATTCGCGCGGGGGACTGTCTCTCAGCGTGGTGTGACATCAGTGCCGGTGTGCCGCAAGGTGGTGTGCTGTCTCCTCTCTTATTCGCAGTCTTCATTAACTCCATTTCTATAAATCTTGGATCCTCTTTTCACTTGTATGCAGACGATCTCCAGATTTATTCGCAGGGGGGCCTTGGAGACCTTTCGAGAGCTGTGGAAGTCGTGAACAGCGATCTCGAAATAATCCTGGACTGGAGCAGGGCTCATGGGCTTAAAGTCAACCCCACCAAAACGCAGGTTATCGTGTTGGGTGGTTCCAGGCAGATTTCCCAGATTAACTGGAGTGCCCTTCCACCCATCATGTTTGACGGTGTCCAGATACCTTTTAGCAAAGTCGTGAAGAACCTCGGCATTCACATCGATAGTGCTCTCACATGGACAACCCAGATTGGGGAGGTCAGCAGGAAGGTGTTTGCGGCTGCAGCGTCAATAAATAGGTTGCGTAACTTTTTACCCATACCCACCAAAATTGCTCTTGTTCAAGCTTTACTCTTCCCTATTCTCGACTACGCCGACTGCTGCTACCCTGACCTCAACGAAACCCATTTGGCTAAGCTCGAGCGCCTCCAAAACTTTTGCATTCGTATCATCTACGGCCTGCGAAAGTATGACCATGTTTCTGAGTACCGAGCCCAGCTAAAATGGTTACCGATCCGACGTCGGCGTGACTCTCACATCCTATCCCTTCTTTTCTCTATCCTCTTTAACCCAAAGTCACCACCATACTTGAAGGAGCGTTTTCAATTCATGCAGTCGGCCCTGGGTCACGAAATGCGGTCGTCAAAAAAACTCCATCTTAATTTTCCTTCTCACACCTCACATTCCTATACGCGATCTTTCACTGTTCAAGCTATCCGTCTATGGAACGCCTTGCCGATGTCTATTCGGCAATCTGAGTCACTTCCTACTTTTAAGAAAAGACTCAAATCTCACTTCCTCACGCTACTACCTTAATTTCCCAACATCTGTATTCCTTTTAGCTTCTTAAAATTCCCACCTATTTTCTGCTGGCTATCTAGTTCTATCTTTGGTTCGTATCAAAAATTGTATGTGTATGTAGGTATATATTATATTTTATGTATGTAGGTATATATTATATAATTATGTATATATTAATATATTTTTGTGTATTATTTGTATGTATTATTTTGGTTTAAATTTTATGCCTTTTGTTTACATTTATTTCTTTAGTGTCGACACCGCCTTCCCCTTCATATTTTTTTTTAAGTAACTGTCCTCACCATAGGTTGTCTGGAAGAGATCGCTTCATAGCGATAAGACCGCCTAGTTGTACCTTGTGTGTTCCTTTACTTTCTGTTCTTATCTTTGGTGTGCAATAAAGTGTATTTATTATTATTATTAAATCTGTAGAGAGGTCAATTCTGTACATTAAATATATTTTCAAAATAACTATCAGGGGGTGATTAGTGATCGATACTGATGCCAAAAATGCAATCAGTAAAATTTTTGTCTGTCTGTCTGTCCGTCTGTATGTTCCTTATAGAAACAAAAACTACTCGATGGATTTTAACGAAACTTGGTACAATTATTCTTCATACTCCTGCGCAGGTTATAGTATACTTAGGAATTCCCACGGGAACGGGAGTTAGCGGGAAAAAACATTTGTATGAAAAAATCTAAACCGCGTAAGATAGATGAAGGGGATAAAACGGGATCCACGCGTACGAAGTTGCGGGCGGCCGCTAGTCTTGTAATATAATCCTTTTTAATTTACTTTTTACTTCGCAATTAACAGCCGTTTAACCAGTTCCCTGCCCGCAGGTGCAAGGTCTCCACACGTTCATCAGAAACAAGGACACGCCTCGCGACGAGTTCATCTTCTACTCCAAACGGCTCATGCGCCTCGTCATAGAGTTTGCGCTGTCCCTGCTGCCTTATTCCGACCACAGTGTGGACACGCCGCAAGGCTTCAGTTATAGCGGTGAGCTCATCATCATCATAATCACCATCATCATGCGCTCGCATAGAATCAAAATCAAAAAAACAATCAAAATCAAAAATATTTACGCCCGTATTCACGAACAATACTATGAGGTCTCACAGTGCGCGTGGACGCACAGGGTAACACATGAACCAATCATAGAGCTCTATTCAACGCTGTGCGTTCGATTTGTTGCTTCACTTAAGCAAGCATCGTTTGTGAATACGGGCGTTATTCAGTTTAGACCACAAGTGGCACTTATGAACGTCAAAACGAAATCTATATTCAGGGTGGAAACGATAAGTGATCTCACTCGATTATTTCTAAACTATACAAGATATCGAAAAAATGGTTACTGATCCTGAAAGTGCTTGACGAGCTCTTTCAAACGGTACTAATAATAGGTTACAGAATAAACTTGAACTATCCGAAAATTCAATGTTTCCAACTTCCATACATTTGGTAAAGTTACATAATATTAAAAACTACACAAGATATCGCAAAACTAGTTACTGATCCTAAAAGCGCTTCACGAGCTCTATCCAACGGTATCAACAATAGCTTACAAAATAAATTAGATCTATCCAAAAATTCAATGTTTCCACCTTCCATACATTTAGTACTATCACAGTCATGGTACTCATCTCTTGATAATATTATAGCAAGTAGAGCTTAAAACTAATGTTTTCCACAAATAATTTCAAATAAGATGCAAGTTACGAGTTTATTTAACTGACTTTTTAAGTTTATTATTTAACAAAAAATAAATTACACTTCTAATATTGTGTGGTTGGCATACATTTAGTATGGAAGCTGGAAACATTGAATTTTCGGATTGTTCCAGTTTGGTACCGTTTGAAAGAGCTTGTGAATCACTTTCAGAATCAGTAATCAGTTTTTCAATAGCTTGTATAGTTTAGAAATAATCGAGTGAGATCACTTAACGTTTCCACCCTGTATATAAAAGAAAGTCGTGTTAGTTACTTTGCTTATAACTCAAGAAGGGCTGAACCGATTTAGCTGAAAATTGTCAGGGAGGTAGTTTAGAGCCAGGAGAAGGACATAGGATATTTTTTATCCCGTTCGAAATAAAAAAAAGTCTGCTTTTTTATTGCCATTAAGGCGGAACAAAGTTCGCCGGGTCAGCTAGTAGTAAATTAAAAAAGAAAAGGTTGCCCTTATGGAAGAGTTCGCGCTGTCCCTGCTGCCTTATTCAGACCATAGTGTGGACACGCCGCAGGGCTTCAGCTACAGCGGTGAGCTCATCATCATCATCATTCGCTCGTCATAGAATTCGCGCTGTCCCTTCTGCCGTACTCAGACCATAATGTGGACACGCCGCAGGGCTTCAGCTACAGCGGTAATGGCACAATTTCACTAGTCGATAGGGTAAAGGTTTTAAACCNTACAACAGTTCGCAGCGAGCACGAGCGAGCATGTCGCACGCAAGTCATTATTGTACATGACATATGTCAAGCCTGCCTACCAGAGTTACATCGCTCCTTGTATGGCGCACGCGGACATTGCACATTGCACAGCTGGTGAGTGCCGAGCATTCGCGCGAACGTTCGCAGCGAGCATGGCGCACGCAGACATCATTGTACCGCGAGGGGAGGAGAACAAAGTCGCCATACAGGCTCATTGTGCACTGTGCATAAAGCTATAGTTATTGAGTATTCTCGCGAACGTTCGCAGCGAGCACTAGCGAGCATGGCGCACGCAAATACCATCGTGCCAAGAGCTACAACTTCCATTAACTATTTATTAACTTCTCTTTGGTCGCGGGGGGTGCCCGTTTTCTCTATCCATTCTGATTGAAAAAGGGGGATTCCCTTGATTGATTACTTCCTTTGTTCCATGCGTTTATCTCCGCTGGCAGTCGTGTTTTAACGTTCAGTGTGGATACATAATTTAACTGAATGTAACGTATTTTACTAAAACATTAAAAGAAACGCTACCTTAAAGAAAATAGGTGTATTAACGTAAACATACTGCATAAAGTGTTAACTTATTCACTGCAGTGATATCTAAATAACCTCATGATGTGTGCACGTAATGCATCATCCCCTGAGGTAAATAACAACTGTCTACAGTATTTTTGCGCACGGGTTATGCTTAGCTTATTTTTATTGCTTTATAACCTAGAAACAAGAATAACAACAAACAATTGTTCTGAATTTGCTTTTATGTGTAAAAAATAGAAAAATTCATATCAATGAATGTATGAAACATGAACATAGAGATGATTTAATTTGTTGCCAATTTTTTTTTTCTTTCTTTCTTTCATTCTTTCTAATTATTAAAACATAACAAACATCCATTTAAGATTCATTCTCACAAGAGAAAAATTAAAATAGAGTCCAAATATTTATTAAAAATTAAAAGTTCTAATTTCCTGTCATGTTCCATAGAAGATTTTTTTCATAAAAATCTAACCATATCATGCTTTCAGTATACTGGCCTTGGTAACGTCGTTTCTCAAATCCCACTATATTTTGATGAAAGCGTGCCCCTTGTTCTTGCGAATAAGCCCCCATAATTATTTATAAATATATCCCAATGAGAATGTGACGTGCATCTTTAGAGACATTCTATCCAGGGTCTGATCTGAGGATGGAGCATAATTTTTTTTATCATCTGTCTCATAAAAGTTGCATAACATTGACTTGACGTTACCATCAGACAATCCAAAAAAGGACCATATTTCAAGTCACGAGTGCCCAAAGTGTCACCAGTGACACTCGAATTAATTGACGAAAATACTTATTACAATAGAAACATTTTAATAGTTTTATCGTAAAATCTGAGAGATATATTACCGTAGCACACAGAAAACACAAAACAATACCAAAAAACTTGTTTTAAATAATATTTTCTTTTCTTGGAATGTGTCATGTCGGAAGTCGCGCGAATTCAAAATTTCAATTAATGTTTACAAAATCAAAAACCCTTTCGTGCGAGGCACAGCAATTTTTTGGATATGAAACATATTCCTACGTTTCACACACTTTTATTAATTTTCATAAATACCAATAAATGGCGCTGTAAAAAAAATATATACTCAAGTGTCACGAGTGACACCGGGGGTCTCAGGAGGATAATATAAATTATAGCCTAAGGCACCCCAAAATGGCACCCCCCCTGTCATGACATCACGACCGTCCTTGCCATGCAGATGCGTCAGTGAGTACTAATCTGCGCGACTTTGTCACCCCCAGAAGCTTGGCACCCGGGGCGGACCGCCCCTGCCACCTCTTGACTTCATCATCAGGACCCTGAACATCATCTAGCACTAAAGTGCTCGAAAAGACAAGTCCAACGAACCCAAACTAGATGTAATTCCGCCGTTTCGTTAAGAGTTCCTATGGCCACCTCCATACTCCATCCAGCTCAATGGTACCATAATATTGCATTGTCATCGTACTTACACAAGTATACCAAATTTCAGCTCAATTGGTTAAGGAGAACTGGTTTTAAATTCAGTTGCAAGATTTATCCCATACTAACTAACAAGCGAAGTGCTTGTAAAAATGGTACACATATCTTTTTTGCGACTAGTTTTCTTAGTATATTATACCATTTCGGAATCTTGGATAGTTGCGTCAACTTTATAAAAAACTTGCCGCAGTAGTGTTCATACTGTTTTTTTACAAAACGACGAGTCAAAGTGGAGTGTAAGTAAAAATCGTTCAAAATTTTAAGGAAATATCATATTTTGGTTAACTTTTGTGTAAAAACTGCAAGGATTCTGAGGGTTTTAAGAATTGGGGTGGACAGCAGCACTACTTAAGTTGCCGATACAAACAAAAAAACTGAAGTATTTGAAAAATTGTAGTCGTGGTAATGTAAAATATCATAAGGGGTGTCAATTTTCGACGAATTTCATAATTTATTGTGTAACTTAAAAAATAATTGAGATAGATTTTTTTTCTTATTTTTCATAAAGCAGTCATGACTAGGTCCACCCTGCGGCGCCGGCTTATCCTTGAATTTTGGGACACGTTGTATATGAAAGTGCGCAAATTACACCGATTGATTCTTCATACAAATTAGAATCGGGCCCAACTATCGAGCGACTAAAAATCGATGGTCTGCGCCTAGGCTTACAATAACCTACATTCCCCAGGGCTTATTCCACTATTCCCCGTTGACAATCCCCGTCAACGGGGATTAGTAAACTTTTTGTTCACTATTCCCCGTTAACGCCAATTGGAGATTTATAATGGGGAATAATGAACTAAAAAGTTCACTAATCCCCGTTGACGGGGATTTTCAACGGGGAATAGTGGAATAAGCCATTCCCAAGATTGAACAACCGACCTTGCAAAATTTTAGAGTGCTTTCATCTATACTTATAATAAATCTGTAGAGAGGTCAATTCTGTACATTAAATATATTTTCAAAATAACTATCAGGGGGTGATTAGTGATCGATACTGATGCCAAAAATGCAATCAGTAAAATTTTTGTCTGTCTGTCCGTCTGTATGTTCCTTATAGAAACAAAAACTACTCGATGGATTTTAACGAAACTTGGTACAATTATTCTTCATACTCCTGCGCAGGTTATAGTATACTTAGGAATTCCCACGGGAACGGGAGTTAGCGGGAAAAAACATTTGTATAAAAAAATCTAAACCGCGTAAGATAGATGAAGGGGATAAAACGGGATCCACGCGTACGAAGTTGCGGGCGGCCGCTAGTCTTGTAATATAATCCTTTTTAATTTACTTTTTACTTCTTAATTAACAGCCGTTTAACCAGTTCCCTGCCCGCAGGTGCAAGGTCTCCACACGTTCATCAGAAACAAGGACACGCCTCGCGACGAGTTCATCTTCTACTCCAAACGGCTCATGCGCCTCGTCATAGAGTTTGCGCTGTCCCTGCTGCCTTATTCCGACCACAGTGTGGACACACCGCAAGGCTTCAGTTATAGCGGTGAGCTCATCATCATTAGTGATGCAACGAATATTCGTATTCGCCAAACATTTACCGAATATTCGCATTCGGTGAAATAATAATTGCGAATACCTACTTTTTTATATTTTGTCACACGCGTGTGTGACTCCGAACACTATAGCACAACGACATGACGGGAAACCCCGCGGTCAGTATGTAACAAAGTAGTAATAGTAAGTAAGTTCTCTTCCGGAATTTGACAGTTAATAGCAGGTCGATTGTACAAGTATTATTTTGTTTTGATTAGTTACAAAGTAAAGTGATACAATACCAAAAAAAATTCCATTTGTAAAAGACAATGCCGGAAATTGGCGTCTTTTTTTTTTCGCGCGGCCATCGACCAAACCATGGTTTTTGGTTACAAAATGTGTAATAAACCAAACATACTATGACATGTATACCTCTAAACTCAGTCTGAACTAAGTTACGAGCATTAGAAGTTTGATGTTTTACATACTAAGATTTGCTTTTTGCGCTTTTTTATTTTTTACTAGCTTTCCGCCCGCAATTTCCGCGGGCAAAGCCGCGGGCGGAAAGCTAGTAAAAAATAAAATAAACAAAGCCTGCATCCAGGCCGCTACGCAAAATGGAAATGGAAATCATTGGGGGAGGCCTATGTTCAGCAGTGGACATTGAAATGATGATGATGAAGACCACGCGTTCATTCAATTCTGTATCAACTTTAAGGCTAACTTTATAAAACCGCAAAGTTTAATTAAACCCTGAATTTGAAATTAATGCGAGCGAATTAACACTAAAGCCCGGTCTACGGTAAGCGCGTAGAATTTTGTCCAATGACCCTAAGCTACCCATCCTTATCGCTCGTGCGCAATTATATTGCTGTCGCGACTGTGCGACGGGCGCCCGCAGCGAGTGTGCGAGCGCGACAGCAACAGCTTGGGGTCATTGGACAAAATTCTACGTGCTCACGGACCGGGCTTTAGCTTCTCTTTACGTTAAAAATGTAATGACCTACCAATATCGTTCGAAAGCTAATCTAAACCTTATCTTCTCCACGCCCCAAGGCCGCAAATGCGACGTGGAGAAAATCTGCGGCGTATCGATCCTGCGCGCCGGCGAGACCATGGAGCAGGCCGTGTGCGACGTCTGCAAGGACATCCGCATCGGCAAGATACTCATACAGACCAACCAGCAGACCGACGAGCCGGAGGTCAGTGTTTCGCTAGACTTATACCACCATCATCAATCCCTAATTTTAAACCCTATTTTTTTTTTTCAAGAATATTACACTGCACACATTACTAATAGTCCCGTTAGCCCCTCGTGTTAAGCTAAATAAGCTTGTGTTACGAGTGGGCTCACCACAATAGTCGAGCGGCGGTGAGATTCGATCCCGCGTTCCTCGGATTTCGAGTCGGCCACTCCGACCCATTCATCGTTCGGCTATCGTGGCTATAAATCCTATTGTCTGTGTCTATTGAAAAAATATTGACATTAAAAAAATATTGAAAAAAAAACCGGCTTTGTGTTTACTTATGGGTCACTTAAGAATTAGGGATTGATGCTGAAAACGGACATTAGTTGCTGTGGTATTTTCCGGAATCCCTCAGTTTCTTCAGTCTGCTGCCTGCTGCGATTCAACGCATTTTTTTCCCCGTAAAAAAAATCTTGGCTTATTACTGCCAATGAGGGCTATCATTTTTGTACTTAACAGTTGGTACCACTTACAATTAACATGATCCTACCTCCGTAGTTGCGTCCCATCCTATAGTCGGCGCAAGGACTCGTGGCAGATGGTACAAGACGACTTTACCTATTTATTGGGCCTAGGATCAGACCTAGAAGTTAAATATTAGCTAGTCTTTAATTGAGTATCCAACATAGAATTAAAGCCGTATACGTTTTATAAATAGGGTGATTAAAGACTATCTTCAAAAACATCCTAAATTAAAGCTATGAGAATTAGACGTATTCTTAAAGAGTAATGACGGAGTGACAGAGTAATAATGACAACAGTTGATGCCAATATTTAAACATGAACCTGTCTTAACATCTAATAATCGCATACATGAAGTAAATTACAAGTATTCTGATCATATTTTTTTTCTAGAGCCACTTTTCTTTAAGCTTCACAGATCTTTATTAGTCTTTCTTTCCAGCTATACTACCTCCGGCTGCCCAAAGACATAAAGGACTACCGCGTGATCCTCATGGACGCCACCGTGGCCACCGGCGCCGCCGCCATCATGGCCATTAGAGTATTGCTCGACCACGACGTGCCCGAGGACCACATCAGCCTCGTGTCACTGCTTATGGCAGAGATCGGCGTACACTCCATCGCCTACGCCTTCCCCAAGGTTGGTAAATGGATTGTCTTAACGCTATCACTCATCGGTGGTATACACTACAGCTACGTCTTCCCCAAAGTCAGTAAACGCCAAGAGGTTAGCAATACATTGTCGCCGCCATCATGGAGTACTACTTGACCACGACGTGCCCGAGGACCACATCTCCCTCGTGTCGCTGCTTATGGCAGAGATCGGCGTGCACTCCATCGCCTACGCGTTCCCCAAGGTTGGTAAATGGATTGTCTTAACGCAGTCACTCATCGGTAATAGTAGGCATTCTTTAGTCTTAGGGGGCGTCCATAAATTACGTGAGGCTTTTAGGGGGGGGAGGGGGTCAACAAAAACCTCACCAAATCTCATGTGGGGGAGAGGGGGGGTCTCGGGAAATATCACGTATTTTTTTCCACAAGAAATAGACAAATAGTTTGCCAGAAAACTGGGTTAAATCTTAAGAAAAAAATTGGCCAAATGCGTGTCGTGCCACGCGCAGTGTAGGGTTCCTTAGTTGTCCGTCGTTATCACAATATATTTCAGAAGTAAGCAATTACTTCATCTAAAGATTTTTGATTTTGATTTTAATATTTTCTTCTAAGGATTTTTTATTAGATATGAAATTTTATAATACATGAGTAAAACGACTATTACTCTTGAACTAACTGATCTATCTTAACCGCTATAGTTTTCCTTGAAAGTTCATAAAAAGCACTATAATCTTGAATTTTTCCAGATGTATCAAGCCAACAGTTTAGTTTTTAGCGGGGGGGAACGCCCTACTCGGACAAAAATTGGTACTTTAAACTTTAACATTTTGCAAATGGATCCCTAAATCGAAAAATGGTCTTAGAAACCCCTAAGCCATTTTAAAAGACCTATCCAACGATACCCCACACGATGGGGTAGAAGAAGAAAAAAAATAACATCCCCACTTTACATGTAGGGGAGCTACCCTAAAAAAATTTTTTTTCAAAATTTTATTCTATCGTTTTGTCGTCGTGATTAATATACATACCTCTACAAAATTACAGCTCCCTAGTGCCAATAGTTTCCAAGCAAAACCTCGGACAGACAGACAGCCAGACATATCGAAACTATAAAGGGTTCCTTGTCAGGACTAAAAAATGATATTTGTATGATGATAATGTCATTTTATTCTATACAGTCTAAACAAATACCTACAACTAAAAATGCTTCAGTCTGCATGTGTGAATACTAAAATGCAGAATAAATGACGAAATTAAGAAAATTATAAAACAAGTTCTTTTTTTATCAAAATCGATTTTGCTAGATTATTAGTGATTTTGTAGAAAGGAACAATTAGACTAGGTACTTCTGTAAAAAAACAATGTGACCCTAGTACTAACCGCTGTCACTACACGTGTTTTTCTGGATCTATTCGTAATCAGTGGGCTTAGTGCGACTTTACACAATCGTCATCCGCTAGCGACTGCGTAAAAAATGACATACATTAAATGTATGATGATTGTACAGCGTCCCTAGCAGATACTTTCAAGAACTAAAATCTTAAACTTTATAGATCTTTTTGATGCACTCGTTAGCAACAACGTTAAAGCACACAAAAAAATGATTCTCAGTTATATTACTCCAAAACTATTAAATTTCGGATTTTTTTTAATATCACGTGAGATTTGGGGGTGGGGGAGGGGGTCAGGCAAAATCTCACCAAGGGGGGCGGGGGGGTTGAAAAATGGCCAAAATTGTCTCACGTAATTTATGGACGCCCCCTTACCCAAAGTCTGTAAATAGTCTGTCTTAGCGCACTCGCGCATCGATAGAAGACGTTGTATGCATGCTGATGCATTGTTTTATCGTACCGAGGATTTCATCTACCCCGTTGTCCCTACTCATGGCTGAGATCGGCGTGCACTCCATCGCCTACGCCTTCCCTAAGGTTGGTAAATGAACTGTTTTAACGCTATCACCCAACGGTAGCGGGTGGAGTGTTATTCACACTCGATAGTTTACGTCTTTCACAAAATTCATTGTAATAAATAACGGATTTACTAATCGGTAGCAAGCTATAGTGTTATCGAAATCTTTCGTTTATAACAATACCATTGACTATTATTGACTGCGACCACGTCGGTATACGGTATACGGATCTGAGACGTGGTCGCTTACTATGGGCCTCATAAGAAGGCTCAAGGTCACCCAAAGAGCGATGAAGCGTGCTATGCTCGGAGTTTCCCTGCGTGATCGAATCAGAATGAGGAGATCCGTAGGAGAACCAGAGTGACTGACATAACCCGCAGAATCGCTAAAATCAAGTGGCAGTGGGCGGGGCACATAGCTCGGAGAGCTGATGGCCGCTGGGGCAGAAAAGTTATTGAGTGGCGACCACGAGCCGGAAGACGCAGCGTGGGCGGGCCTCCCACTAGGTGGACCGACGATCTGGTGAAGGTCGCGGGAGGTGCCTGGATGGGAGCGGCGCAGGACCGGACTTTGTGGAAATTCTTAGGGGAGGCCTTTGTCCAGCAGTGGACGTCTTTCGGCTGAAACGAACGAACGACTGCGACCAAAATTGTATGACTCCAATCACATTTCAGTCTTTCTTTTTATAGGAACAAATGAAAATAGAAATATTGTCTAAATATTTATTAGAAACACACGACGGCTCTTGCTGACTACCCTACAATTACATAGTTTTTATTTTAGCCCAAGAACATTTTAACCTATTTTATTTAATACTTTTTTCAGGTAAAAATCGTAACATCAGCTTTAGACCCGGAGATCAACGAGAAGTTCTACGTGTTACCCGGGATAGGCAACTTCGGCGACCGCTACTTCGGCACCGAGCCCGCCGACGACGAGTAGCAAACCAAACAGGTACGTTGTGACGCGGAAATATAGGCGCACGATGAGGAAGGCAAAACAACACCAGTGGGCCTAAAATGCGCGCCGTGATAAGCTTTTATCGACGTCAAAATATATGGGCAAAATCGATAAAATGGCGTGATAACCGCTTATCGCGGCGCGCATCTTAGGCCTACAGTAGGCCTAGAATGCGCGTTGTGATAAGCTTTTATCGTGCCATTTTGTCGATAGGCACACACATTAGTCGTGTAAAATCATCGATAAAATTTTATCACGGCGCGCAGACTTGTCTGGTATGTTGTAACGCGGAACGATAGATATAATTGCATAGCATCGTTGAGGCTAGTCTTAGAGCCAAACTATCCACAAAAAGAACACTATCTCTAAAGCTACAAGTGGGCGGCGACAAAGAAACGATAGGCAGGATATACGCAAACATCATTAAGGCGTAGTGTGGTGAGCCATGATGTTCACAAAAAGAACACTATCTCCAAAACTAGAAGTGGGCGGTGACAATTTTTTAAATGGTGTCGTGTGCCTATATTTTGCGTCACAACTTTACCACGAAAGATCGTGATGCTAACTTATCTTACTCAGTGGCAAAACATGATTCTGGCATTCAACTCGGGGAAAATACGTAATCGTAAATTTGATGAGATGTCACACTTGTTTATGCCACTCAGTCAGATGGAACCAAAATATAACTGACAAAATTGCGGTGGATGCGACGATGACCCAAATCACGTAAGATTTTTTTAAATCTAAAGTCAGATCTATCGATTCAAAATTAAAATATACAAAAAAAGTGTTTATTTATGTTGTGAAATATTAAAAAAATGCTACAAACAAACTGTATGTAAAAAAGTACAATAAAAGATTATTTATTTGTCAAAATGAAATCAATCTGTCCAATTGACAGTGACATTTCTNGGGAAAAGTTGATAGGGTCTACATGCGGCGTGCGGGAGATTTCTGGAACGCATGCCACAGGGCCCGTTTTCATCAGTCGATATGGTCCGCATGCGTTCAGCCATTTTGAACAGTGTTATTCTAATCAAACAAGCACACGTATGAAATATTTGACTCAAGACCCGCAAGCAAGCTGTATATCGACTAATGAATTACATTGGTCGATAGCACGGTCGGTATAATCCCTGCAGGCGTTGTACCAAACGCGTATCGACTTGCAACTTTCCATTGGTCGTTATCTCGCATGCGGGGAGTCCCCGCATGTTGTATACCGAACGAGTTATCGACTAATGAAAATGCGCCATAAGACTCATCATCATCATTATCATCATCATCTTCATCATCATCATCATCATCATCATCATGCGCTCGCATAGAATCGAAATAATATTTATTCAGTTTAGACCACAAGTGGCACTTATGAACATCAAAACGAAATATAGTAAATAATAATAAAAGAAAAGGTAGCCCTTATGGAAGAGTTCGCGCTGTCTCTGCTACTGTACTCCGACCACAGCGTGGACACGCCGCAAGGCTTCAGTTATAGCGGTGAGGCTCATTATCATCATCCACTCCGAGCGGCTTATACGCGACGTCATCACCAGTGATCGCGTACAAAACAGCTAACATACGCGTAACAGTAGTCTTCCAATCCCAACTAATATTATAAATGCGAAAGTAACTCTGTCTGTCTGTCTGTCTGTCTGTCTGTCTGTTACGCTTTCCCGCTTAAACCTCGCAACCGATTTTGATGAAATTTGGCATAGAGATAGTTTGAGTCCCGGGAAAGAACATAGGATAGTTTTTATCCCGGTTTTTGAAACAGGGACGCGCGCGATAAAGTTTTTCTGTGACAGACAAAATTCCACGCGGGCGAAGCCGCGGGCGGAAAGCTAGTTACTTATAATAGTTAGAGAGGCGAATAGGGGAATTTTCGGCAATACTCGAGCGTGACAGTTTAAGATATGAGAGATACCTTAGACCTAATCGAACAACCTTGTAAAGTATTTAGCTCTATATGTAGTGACGCGCGCCTAAGATAGACGATCAGATTAGTAAAAAAAAAATGGATAGTCTGAAATACTCGAGCGCGTCAGATTAAGATATTGGGGGTTCATTTTACTGTTTAAAGACTAAATTTCACTAATCTGACGATAAGTCCTTGACGCCGCCGAGTTATAGGGTCGCGAACTTGTAAAAAAAACGTTAATCCAGCATTCTCGAGCGCGATTTTTATTTTTTTATTTTGAAGAATATAATCTAAAACTTACTAAAAATACAAAATCTGCCGGTTTCCGCATGACCGGAAGTGTGGAGAAGCCATTTCGTCTTCCTAAGAACGCGTTACGGCATATAAGTCGCGAACGATACATTTTACAAAAAAAAAGTTTAAATAAACAAAAAAGGTTTTAAATTTTATTTTACACAAAAAAGGTCTCTTTACATTTTTGTCCAAAGAAAGGAAAAAAAGAAACCAAAAAACCTTTTTCGGTCAGATTAAGAGAACCCACCAACATTTTTGTCAGATTAAAAAAATATGCTTTCAGGATACCGAGATAAACCTCCCCTATGAAAATCTGACGCGCTCGAGTATTTCAAAAAAACGTTTTTTTGCATTTTCAAAAATTCATCGTAACTTATCGTCACACTGAAATCGTCAGTTTTTTTAAAGGGAGCTTCCTTGGGGCCTACTTAACACCCCTTCCGAAAATCTGACGCGCTCGAGTAATTTTTTTGGCAATTAGTATACCGTTGTTATCAGAGGTACTCGGGGCATACGTAGTATGAATATCTGACGCGCTCGAGAATGCCCAAGTAACTGTTTTTTTTAACATTTTTGAAAAACCGCACACGCCAAACCCACCGCTAAAATGGTTTTTGCCATACGAGCTTTTCTTTTCGAAATTATTTTATCTTTCGATTTTGATAGGTCTCGACGGCGCCGTTGAATTACGCCATTTAGCTACCTCGCCTCCCTAACTATAATAAGTAACCAAATAAAAAAATAAAGTAAATAAACATCCAGGCCGCTACCAACCGGGCAAAGGGGAAATCATTGGGGGAGGTCTGTGTTCAGCAGTAGGTCTAATAAATAAATAAATAAATATCTTTGGACATTTTACACTGCGCTTCTAGTCCCAAACTAAGCGAAGCTTGTACTATGGGTACTAGACAACGGATATAAACATAGTTAATACTTTTTTTTTGTAATACATACTTATTATACATAGAAAACACCCAGTCCAATACAAACAAATATGTTCATGCACACAAATGTTTGTACTGTGCGGAAATCGTACCCGCTACCTCCGGAATAGTAGTCCGTTTCGAACCACTACTCCAAACGGCCGACATGATATTAGCTACACAATTCTGTAGCTAAAATGATGATTATTTAGTCGACGGGTTCATTCACGAATATGCTTTTAGTAACAATTTTAAAGGTTAACTTAAACAACGCAGTTTGATTAAACCCTGAGTTCGATATAAACGCAGCAACAAAGCTAGCTTCTATCTAACCCTGAAAATATCGTTCGAAAGCTAATCTAAACCTTATCTCCACGCCCCAAGGCCGCAAATGTGACGTGGAGAAAATCTGCGGCGTGTCGATCCTGCGCGCCGGCGAGACCATGGAGCAGGCCGTGTGCGACGTCTGCAAGGACATCCGCATCGGCAAGATACTCATACAGACCAACCAGCAGACTGACGAGCCGGAGGTCAGTGTAGGCTACACTTAGTTACTGCCAAGGCTCGGATACCGGTTCATTTTTCAAACTGTTAATGCCTTAAGTACAAGAGAACGAAATAATTTCGTTTTCGTTCTTTACCACAATTAACCGTCATATCGGGGCACAGCCGATGTCGCCGTTTTATGCAAGACGCCGGCCGCGCGGGAATGAGGGCTATCGTTTTAGCGCTCACCAGTTAGCGCCACTGTAGAGTAAGGTCCTGTCACTTGCTAGTAGCGAAGACAGTGGCGCTGACTGGTGAGCGCGAAAGTGGTAGGAGGACTATCGCATTTGCACTCATCAAGATGGCGCCACTGTAGAGTAAGGTCCTGTCAATCGCCAGGGGTGCCAACTGTTAAGTATAAAAACGGTAGCCCTCATTAAGTATCGTTTTCGCTCGGAACAAAATTTAAACAAAAACGAAATAGAATTTTTCAAACTGGGTTCAACTTAACAGTTGGCACCACTGACGAGTGACAGAACCTTACTCTACAGTGGCGTCATCCTGGTGAGTGAAATGCGATAGTCCTCCCCCCTCCTACTGCTTCACTGTTTTAGCCACTAGCGAGTAACAGGACCTACAGTGGCTCTAACTGCTGAGGGCAAATACGATAGCCCTCATTAACTGATATAAATTAATACTTTTTATAGGCTATCAGACCTTTGTTTCTTCCATAAAATTTCGATGAGCCAGAAGGCAATTCAAACCAGACTAGGAGTTTAAAAGGGTTAAATGGATTATTGAGCCTAGCATTAGACCTAGAAGTTAAATATTAGGTAGTCATTAATTGAGTATCCAACATTGAATTAAAAGCCATATGATTTAGATTAACTTCAAAAACATTCAAGCTATGATAAGTTCTAAAAGTAAATGACAAGTTTTCTGTTCATCATTTTTTTGTAGAGCCACTTTTCTTTAGGATTAACAGATCTTTATTAGAGCTCTTTGTTTCCAGCTATACTACCTCCGGCTGCCCAAAGACATAAAGGACTACCGCGTGATCCTCATGGACGCCACCGTGGCCACCGGCGCCGCCGCCATCATGGCCATCCGCGTGCTGCTCGACCACGACGTGCCCGAGGACCACATCAGCCTCGTGTCACTGCTTATGGCAGAGATCGGCGTACACTCCATCGCCTACGCCTTCCCCAAGGTTGGTAAATAGATTATCTTAACGCGGTCACTCATCGGTGGTATACTATAATCCGGGCCTTTTCAAGGCGAGAGTGAAAAGGCCCTTACAGGGCAGATATGTACCATCCTAGACTGCATCCCACTTAACATCAGGTGCGATTGTGGTCAAATACCTGCCTTATCATAAAAAAAAATACACTACCTTTTTCTTAACACATTCACTCATCGGTAGCAAGCGACAGTGTTATCGAAAACTTTCGTTTATAACAATACCATTATATTTAACTGCGACCAACCTCAATCACACTTCAGTCTTTCTTTCTTGTAAAAGTGCTTTTTTAAAGCCTACTTACAGAAATAAATGAGTTTTACTGAGTTTTTTTTTTTTTACTTTTTGTAGTCAGGACTACTGCCTGAGACATTGTCTAAATCTTTATCAAAGACGCACGGCTCATGTTGACTTACATATAGACCCCCTATCCTACAATTACATAGTTTTTAATTCAATTAATTTTCATTTTATCTCAAAATCATAACCTAACCTAACCTTTTAAACTTTAATACTTTTTCCAGGTAAAAATCGTAACATCAGCTCTAGACCCGGAGATCAACGAGAAGTTCTACGTGTTACCCGGGATAGGCAACTTCGGCGACCGCTACTTCGGCACCGAGCCCGCCGACGACGAGTAGCAAACCAACCAGGTACGTTGTGACGCGGAACTATAGGCGCACGATGAGGAAGGCATAAACAACACCAGTGGGCCTAAAATGCGCGCCGTGATAAACTTTTATCGACGTCAAAATATATGGGCAAAATCGATAAAATGGCGTGATAACCGCTTATCGCGGCGCGCATCTTAGGCCTACAGTAGGCGCGTTGTGATAAGCTTTTATTGTGCCATTTTATCGATTTCCTGACGTTGGTCGTGCAAAAATATCGATAAGATTTTATCACGGCGCGCAAACTTGTCTGGTATGTTGTAACGCGAAACGATAGATATAATCATAGCATCGTTGAGGCTAGTGTTAGAGCCAAACTGTTCACAAAAATAATACTATCTCTAAAGCTACAAGTGGGCGGTGACAAAGAAACGATAGGCAGGATATACGCAAACATTATTAAGGCGTAGTGTGAAGAGCCAAGATGTTCACAAAAAGAACACTATCTCCAAAACTATAAGTGGGCGGTGACAATTTTCACATGGTGTCGTGTGCCTATATTTTGCGTCACAACTTTACCACGTAAAATCGTGATGCTAACTCATCTTACTCAGTGGCAAAACATGATTCTGGCATTTCGAGAACTCGGGGAAAATACGTAATCGTAAATTTGATGAGATGCCACTCGGCCAGATGGGAGCAAAATATAACTGACAAAATTGCGGTGGATGCCACGATGACGTACCCAAATGATTTTTTTAATCTAAAGTCAGATCTATCGATTCAAAATTAAAATTATTAAAATATACAAAAAAAGTGTTTATTTATGTTGTGCAATATTTAAAAAATGCTACAAACAAACTGTATGTAAAAAAGTACAATGAATAAATTATTTATTTGTCAAAATGAAATCCAGCTGTCAAATTGACAGTGACATTTTTGATCACGAATCGTAAATCTGACTTTACCAGCATGAGTTTTATGTCAAAACTCTTTAGTTCAACCAAAACTAAACTACCCACGAAGGCCGTGATATTTATTGTCTTTGGTAAGATCGCATCGTATATCCACATTTATCTCGTATACAACGGTGTATTATAAAATCTAGTAAAATACCGTTGGATTCTAGAAAAAACGTAGAATATGCCATACGCATTTTGTAGTGTCATTATTATGTACTGTTGGAGGATTACATTTGGTAGTTTTTGATGAAATAAAAAGTACACGTCCAATGAGTTTTTTTTTGTATTAGTAAATTTTTTAAAAATATCGAAATACATTTTTTTTTCTAAAACGCTCACTTTTTCAACCAATTTGAAAATTTTTGAAACAAAATTATTTTCTATCCAACTACCAAGTGTATATCGCCTTATTTATTATTTATAACATTGGGCTGAACATGTATTCCTATTTGATATTATTTATTTATTTATGCAAAAACANCAAAAACAACTTGCTATGGAAGCGGTTACGGCTGTTTTAGGTCTTCCACAAGGCGATTTCAATGAATTTTTAGACCTATTTTCGTATACAATGTATATTTTATTTTACAATATTTTTATTCAACTTTTAGTAAATTGACCAGTGAATATTATTTCTGAATGGTTGATATACAAAATGTGTATGTATTATCAATTTTACAATAAATTAAATTAATGTTTATGCTCCAGTAAATGAAATGTCTTTTCAATATTGATTTTCTTTTGGATAGTCAGAATTCAGTAGAAGATCTAAAAAAGTTGTTTTTATGCCAATGTTTTTATTTAATTTATATTTATTAGGTAAGGCCTTAATCTTAATTTACCAACGATTAAATAAAAGTCCTTGGGGGAGGCCTTTGTCCAGCAGTGGACGTCTTTCGGCTGAAACGAACGAAATAAAAGGCTATATTTATAAATCTCTAGTCCACACTAACGTAAAGTAAGTAGACATGACAACAACGACTGAAGAAAAGAAAAATTGGTTATAATTTATAAGTAAATTATTTATTAATGTGTTCCATAATATCAAAGTTTATCATGGAGCCAAAGAAAATCTTGTTCCTAATATTTATTTATGGTCAGTAATAATAATTTCAAATCAATAATTTTCCCAATCTCAAATTCTACTACACTACTATTTTCCAAATTCTATTTTCAAAAACGTCACTTTTATCTTAAAAATACGTCTTTCTGTTTATTATGAAAGTAAAAAGACACGTACTAAATCTTTAAAAAGGAACAAAATATTTTGTCAACAATTCTTTTTTTAAATCCACTGATCACAACATTTGACCATGTTACGTTTACAAAGAAAGATAGTGCAAAATGTAACTTATTTTTATATCAAAGTTTATTTATAGATAAATACTCGTTTCCATAGCGATTTGTCTTTGCCATAGCGGCGTAGGTCGAATATCGTAAATACGCTTTCCTAATGTTAGTAAAATTATTTATGACTGTACCCTTACACTTATTATTTATGCCATGCTACAATAAAACAAGATGAACTATAACTGTTATACTAATCATACGCCCGTATTCACAAACGATGCTTGCTTAAGTGAAGCAGCAAATCGAACGCACAGCGTTGTATTAAACTGAGCTCTATTGAGCTCTGTGATTGGTTCGTGTCTGACCCTGTGCGTCCACGCGCACTGTGAGGCCTCATAGTAATGTTTGTGAATACGGGCGATAGAAACACTAAAAAGTGCAGAGTATAATTTTTATTGTACCATGTTACCCATATAGCATTGCCTACATTTATGTAAAAACTAAGCTCACTGGAAAGTCATCAAAATAATATATTTTTATATTACAATTATTAAGTTATTGAATAAATAAATCCTGCTGTGACAGCATTTTGAACATGAAAAACATTTTTGTTCGACAGATGTCGACAATAATGTTGCAACTCAAAATGTCACAATTTGAGTTACAACATTATTGTTTCTTTTTTTTTCAGAAAAAATCTTTTAAAAAAGGGTTTAATAAACAAATAGTTCCCTTAACTACCCCAGTGAGCTCAATTTTCAATTGATACCCAGTAAAAATTAACCATGGTGCTTTTACATTACGAAATGAACTTCAACAAAGTGTTCCAGTAAAATAGTTGTTTAATAAGAACCGATTGTATGTATGTATGTATTCATTCCGAAGCGATGCTGCCATTTTGACTCTTTCTTCTTGTATTTTCAGTATTAGGTTTTACTTAATTTACCCCCTGGTTTTTTATCTTAGTTAAAAATTAGTTTGACAGTTGTTGCATTGATTGACACGTGTGACGCCTTTTATGTCTTTAACCATCTAGAGAACATAATAATAACAACTCTATTGCCATTTAAAAGCAGCTTAAAAAGAAGCCTATAAGAACTGCTCGCGCGTTCACTAAATGGAATATGCAATAAACATTGTCGCGCGTCATGTTGAGAAACATTTTGTTTCCCAGTGTGCCCAAGGTTGGTGGGATTGGAAAATTGTTTTTAAAACCACAATTAGGTCCAACAACTGCTCATTGTCAATCAATGACATCTATAGTCTGGTTTGCAAACACGTAGAATTTTGTCCAATGACCCCAAGCTACCCATCCTTAACGCTCGCGCGTAATTATATTGCTGTCGCGCCTGGGTAGCTTGGGGTCATTGGACAAAATTCTACGTGCTCACAGACCGGGCTTTAATAAATATTATCTGACTGCAATGTACTTGTTTAAACACCCGGGGTTAAAGCCAAACGTGGCGATGACTTAATTATACTTTGTATATATTAGCTAATTGGCTTCGTGAATAATTTAAATTTAGGGTAAACTCGCCTGCGAGTAGCGTTATGATATTAATTTAGCTTAATTTTACATTTTTAGTTATTTATTTAGTTCAATAAGTTTTTTATAAGTTGTTTTTCTCATTACTTGTTATATTTATAAACCTGCCATGAAATTAATGCACATTGAACTGAAGAAAAAGTTGTCTAACATAAGAAAAAAAGTTAGCTTTGATTGATCAAAAATGTATATCGGAGTGTGAGCAAACCTAAAATTACATTCATAAAAATACTTAAAAAATACTTAGTATAATGTTGTAACTACAACATAATAATAGTCAGATTTAACTAAAATTCAAACCCAATATAGTTCCTAATACAATAAAGAAAAAAATAGTAATGTAATTAGAAACGAGGAAGAAAATTAACTATCTCTGTCTTTTTCTTATATTTGTTCTCTCACTCTTTATTTAATACATTTCTTGGCAGGTTTTATTTTTAGTCGACTGATCAAGGCACATCTTATTTGCTATTGCTAGATCATTAGTGCATTTTGAATCTTAAAAGTTTAGATTGTTATTTTCAGTGCACATATACTTAATATTGTATATGTTACGGCTAAAGATAGGTGTGAACATAAACTTAAGATTAGCCGGCTAAACTTAAGTTTATCTTCGACGAGGTGTTAATGTTAGTTTCTTCTATCTTTAGCCGGCTAAACTTAAGTGTAACCGCAGGCCCTTGGCTAAAAATGTAGAAGGAAATGGAAAAGGAAACAATGTAATAATGTGTACTATTTTGACACGAAAACTTTATTAACACGTTCCGACGCTGTACTCCAGTCCACTATGACACTAACAATCTTCACATAAATGGTTTATACACCTATACCCGTACTGTTGTTCACAATATTTTGCAACAACAAGTCTGCTCTCTATGAAACTCTAATGTAAAATCGACGGTTGTTGCCGTAGTGATTTTTAGATTGATTTTCGTGAAAACGGCGAGACCCGTACTGCCATAATATGAATCAATTCCACCTTTACTGTATGTGCCGTTACCGCGGCGGAACGTGTTAAAAAATAATCACTTTCATTACACATACTTTTATGTACCTATGTAGGTATTCAAAATTACAATTATTACAATAACAAAATATTAATCACTTAGAACAATATCTACCTAATCATTAAAATAAAATAATAAGGAACCATTTGGTCATTACAATTGAATCTTCTGTAGGTATTTAAAATTACAAAATAAAACAAAATAAAACTGCGCGCGCGTTGTCTCCCCACCGCCCCCTCAAGCCCTCCGCCGGCCTGGCGCGCCCATCGAATACATTTTTAGCCGTTTCGTTTTGGCTAATGTGCACATTAGCCGGCTAAAGATGGAATATCACGACGCAAACTAACATGTTATCGAACTTTAGCTGATTCTCGAAGATAAACTTAAGTTTAGCCGGCTAATCTTAAGTTTATGTTCACAACTATCTTTAGCCGTAACATATATTATATATGTACTTATTTATTAATGGTAATCAAAGGTTGAACCAAATTGTAATTTATACAAACCAGAAAACTGTATTTAAAAGAACGATACAATATACTGGTTAGTCCCAGTATCGTTGTCATAACTATGCATTTTTATTATTGGAAAATTAACCCAAAATATATTACAAATTAGTACTTAACTGTATTGCAAATCTAAAACTCAGAAAAATAATTCTGTCCTTTTCGATTCATGCCACAAACTTTAAAATAAAAAGAGCTAAAAAGAAATAGAAAAGGATGAGATGAGAGACAAATATGTATTTGTAGACAATGTGACAATAGATTTCGATTCGCGATAGTAATCGCTTCACTACAACCTCACGTTCAAAAAGTACTTTTTCTTAGACGTATGCGTCTTTACCGAATCGAAATCGACAGCAAACGTTACGTTGTCTAGAAGCACAGTTTCGAAATTATACTGTTTTATAATATTTTACTTTGCACAATATGTATGTACAATATATTTAATACGGTAGGCAAAATTGTATAGCTGTAAGTTGCTGTGAATATTTAAAAAAAATACAAAAAAAGTAAACAAACTGAAAAAGATACAAATAAAAGAAGATTATTCAAATATGACTTTTATTTAAACCAGAGCTTAATGTCAAGGACTAATTGAACTAAAATTATGTATTATTTTTTACATTTTAGTCGACTAAATTAACCGTAGACTAACGATATTTATTGTAAGGTAAAAACAACTTTAAGTACTTACAACTAAAACCCATTGTTGTTTGGTCAGACGTGTTCACTGGAGTCCAGGTAGCGTTGCAGCGTCAAGTCGAAATGCTCGTATTTTGCTATCGGCACTTCACTGTGGGAACTGTGGTTCTTTCTGGAAAGATTTTATTATTTTTGATAACACTTCACAAGAAAAAAAATGTTATTACACACAACTATCGATAGTAAAACTGTTTTATACAAATCTACCCTCTAACGGGACTATTGTCACCTCTCTTTCCCACCACTGCAACTCCTGTGTAGCCAGGATCTACAGCTTGACCGCGAATAAAAAAAACCCAACCAGTTAAGGTCAAGTTTGTCCCGGGGGAAAGTTAAACTGTCATTGAACCCGCAACGAAACTAATCAGAAGAACATAGGAAGAGTTCGAAGTTAAGGTTCGACTTCCCTCCATGCAAAGCGGATGACAGGTGACAAACAAAGGTTTAGTAACCTTTATGAAAAAGATATGCACCACGGACAATAAACATAATTAAGTCTTACCCTCTAAGTAGTTACTTAGTCCAGCCCTAGCAAAATACCCGTTCTAAATTGACTTACTTGTAGTATTCCTCGCACTCTTCCATCGAAACGTCGCTGCTGACCAGCCGGGAACCGAACCCGCTGTAGTACGACGCGTATCTTTGCTGTAACAAACAATTTATTGGCACTGGTACACTGACAGCTTTCGAACTTAAACTTACGATAACTTTATCGGTAGACTACATATCTATGGCTGAGTTTTAAGGTTCGGATTGAAAAAATAAAAGCAACACAACCATCGTTTGGTTCTAATTTTTTCTGATAAATAAACGTGTGATGAAAACCACAACTTCTCTCAAAACAATGGACAAGTTTCCAATTTGTTTCTTTGAATAAATCTTGAAAATATAAGTAAAACTAATAATAATTGTGACAGAATCATGAAAATATCTCTACAAATACAAAAGTTACTCACTCAATAATTATATTATGTCAAAGTCTTTTTCTTCTTTATGTATATGGCCAGGTCTGGGATATGTTAAAAAAAAGGTTACAAAATTTTACAAAGAAAGAATCTTGAGCGAAACTGGCTGAAAAATTTAAAACTACTAGATTTTAAAAAAATGTTCTGTCAACAGCACTGGACCAGGGGTGATTTACTGTTTATACTCCGAATGAGTGCCGTGACGTCACCGATGAGATGGCGGCGAAATATTTGTTATGCGCAACTTTGGGGCCCTGTAATTTCTTTATAATGTAGATATATTTTCATGATTCTTTCACCATTATGATAAGTTTTACTTATATTTTCAAGTTTTATTTAAAAAAAAAATGGAAACTTCTCCGTTGGTAACAACTACCCAATCCAAAAAAAGAATCTAAAACCCACCTGTAAATGTTTAGCGAACATCTGCTCCGCTACCATTCCGGCTGCGAATCTGAGACCTTTAGCGAGCGCGTCCACATACTTCACGCAGTGCGTCACTAGCTCTCGCAAGTCGCTGTCTCGGCGCGGGGACAGCTTGAGGTTAATACCCCCTATGAGGGGGTTACCCTGGAAATAAACACTTATTATAATAAATGGAACAACAACTTATTTATAATACTTGAAATATACTGCCTATTACTAATGACTTTAAAGTTCAGAATCCTATGTTGGAATTCAAACCAAGCCAAATGGCCGCCATAGGCAAGACTACAATAGTCGACTACTGAGTAATAACAAATTCAATTGGTTTTTAACCTTATAAGAAAGGTCTAACGTTCAGAACCCATTGTTGGAAATTCGTCAAGGATCCACCACCATGGATTAAAAGTAAACTAGACTAGAGAAGATGCCACAGACAGAATAGATTGAGGTGAGTAATTTCTTTAATTAGTTGTTAATCAAGATTCATATTATTATTATCTCTTCTAATGTTTTAGAAAGCGAACGATTTCACCATAAAGTGTGTAATATAAAAACATTGGCACAATTTTTCAAGGCAATAAATTTTAGTACCTGATCAATGATGCATTTCATCATGAGCGTGAATTGCTTCGTGTTGTAATGGTCCACATCATTGGTGATGACCACGCCGCCCAACATGTTATACCTTTAATCAAAATATAATACCCATAACTATGTAGAATATTTCAAAACAGCTCATCTACACTAATATTATAAAGAAGAAAACTCAAAACTACGGGACCGTTTTTTTAAATTATTTCACCATTTGAAAGCTACATTTACTCACGAGTAACATAGGCTAATCTCTAATAATCAAATAGTCTTAGAAAATTACAGTCTAAAATGAAACACCCTAATATACCTAATAACTTGCTGCCTTGCACCATTAAATTGAATAACTCGACACTGGCAAGAGGCATAGCCATAAAATAAACTAAAAATAACTTACACATTGGCCATAAACATGTGATGTCCAGGCGGCGAGCACACTTTGTAATATCTCTCCAAATTGTAGCTCTTCAAAAAGTACAAACAACTCGTCACATCCCACATGTATCTGTTCACGACATCGTCCCTCCAACTCTGGTGTTGCCAGCTGCCAAAATTACAGTTGTAATATCTCGAATTACAGTTGTAATACGGCATCATTAGGAGCTGGCATCTGTAATTCAGCCTGTCTTTGTATTCGGCGGTGATTTTCAATAGTTTTGCGAATAGTTTTATTTCTCTGGTGACGTCAGTCTGGAAGATATTATCGTAGCCTTCTCTGTGTGGCCAGATAAGAAAACATTCAGCGTTGAGGCGCTGACTCACTTCGAGGCATTTCTTGATTTGCGTCGCGGCCTGGGCGTATGTCGTGGATTCGTTACTCGTGAAGGCACCGGAGGCATATCTATGAATAACACAAAGGCAGGTTTATGAACTTGAAATTCGCAATGTGGGCCAAAAATATTGGTGACATTAAAATAAAAATCCGAGTAAATTAACTGAAGATTATCGTGCCTACCAATCCAAAAAGTGTCGTATCGTACCAGCCAGAACAATCGCCGTGTCTCGTTGAGCTATTAGTTACACTGACATTTAATCCTTCTTTTTTCTTGCTGTATTAATCTCAGGTTAATCCCTTCTAATCGTGGGGATTATTATAAATGAAAATAATAACGATTCCATCGCCGGTGGAGCGTAAAAAAACCGCTAAGGGACCTATAAGACAAAGGAATATCATCATCATCATTTCAGCCATAGGACGTCCACTGCTGAACATAGGCCTCCCCCCAATGCTTTCCATGTTGATCGATTGGTAGCGGCCTGCGTCCAGCGCTTCCCTGCTACCTTTACGATGTCGTCGACGTCGACGTCGTCGCCGACGGATTAGCAAGCTGAAGTGGCAATGGGCAGGGCATATAGTACGCAGAACTGACGACCGATGGGGCAGAAAGGTTCTAGAATGGAGGCCGCGTACCGGAAAACGCAGCGTGGGACGTCCACCTACAAGGTGGACCGACGACAAAGGAATATGCAATATTAAAAAATCTTACCGCGGATGCGAATGCAAATCAGGCGCCAGCCACAGCAGCTTAACATGGCTCCTCTGTCCCAACTCCTGCACAAACTCCACAACTTCATCCCAATGCTGCTTGTTTTCTTCCCAACTATCGCAATACGGCACCAGGTCCGAGTCGAAAGCAGTCCAGTATTTGATGCCCAGTTTGGTGCAGAAGTCGAAGAGAGCCTTGATGCAGCGCTTGTGGTTGTCTATGGTGTGGGATCCGTCGTCCCACGGCCGGTGGGGGGACTTGTGGCTGTCTGACCCTGGAAGATGAGGTAAGTGAAACTTAAAGTGGGGAAATGTTATGGAAACGGTCGGTAAGGTTATTCTGTTTTTTAAGTTTGTGAGGGTAGATTGAAAACTTGAAGGTGATTCCATGGCTTGATTTTTAAAGTTAAAACATTTACTTGTATAAGTTTAAATTAAGGAAAAAAGATGTTTAATTGCAAAACTTTTATTACGTAAAACGTATTTTATAACTACCTACCTAACTACTCCCGAAAAATTTTGAAAATGAACTCTGAAGCATGGTTCAAAAACGTAATATTCAAGGTTCGTTTCATTTCGTTATAAAAATTAATTAGAAACTCACCAATAAATATATTCCATTAGTATGTAGTAAAAGATGCTTATTTAATTTTTACTAAGAAACAAAATGCAGGCACGCACCGTTTCTAAAATCCGAAAGACAAACGCTGAGCTTCAGCCAGTCGTCCAAAGCGCGGGAGTGCACGCGCTCGCTGCAGTAGTACCGGTACCCGCTACCGTCCGTCGGCGGCGCTAGGTTGTTGTACTCTACCTTGTCTATGCCTGAACATACGATAATTTATTACGTTACAATGCAAAAATTGAGAGGATGTGCGACTACGTCTTATTAAAATTATTTAACCTCTAAACTGTTAAGCCATAATATTGTAGACATAAAATAAGAAGCAAATAAGAGCCTCTAAAAATAATACAAAGGACTCGAGTAAGAACTCACCTTGAAAGTAGTCAACATTGTCTCCCGGTCTTGCCTCTCGCACCTTCTGCCTCTTGGCTCCAGGTTGATTGTAGCCTGACATCTTATACCTTCAGGGCAACTTTAGTCAGATCTGTACGCCACAAATACTCTGTATGGTTCAGTTAGTAGCTAGAGTATGTCAAAAAACATGGCACGAAGAAGCTTTTAAATATTATTATTAATTTACTTGTGACTGGGTAGTTTGTTTTCTTGAATAAAAATTAACTTCTATTCAATAAACTTACAGAATTATTTAACCACAACTAAATGCCGAAGAAAATAGAGCGCGACGCTTTCGTAATAACTTTCACTCTACAATTACTTGCATTTGAAAAATAATTATTTATTTTTTATAATATCACTGACAATGACCCTTATTCACCAGCTTACAGAGACTGACAGACAAACAGCGCAGCGTAACGTTATATAACGAGTTATGAAAGGGCGCGCCGGACCGTGCCGTCCTTTGTTGCAAACTGGATGCGTGATACATAATGTAGGTTAGTCGAGGTGTAATAAAGAATCCTTTTCTTTTAATTTGGTCCTTTGTTTTGATACGAAGAGTAATACAATATATTAAAGAAATTACATACGTTACAAAACCGTAGTACAGCAGTTACCGAAAATTTGTAGTGCTATTTTTTTAATACTCTATACAACTACAATGCTTTTAAATCAGTTATGAAAATTCCCAAGTCAAATCTACAAATACGATAATACCACTGTCAAGTTTACAAATAAGCGTTAAGTGCAATTATTTTCTTATCTGTATTTTTTATTTCATGTACCAAAAGATGGAGATGAAGGAAAAACAAAAATTATCTTAAAATATAAACTATATTTCTGTACAACTATAAAAACATCCAGATCAATCTTAAAAACACTGCAAACATCAAAACCACAATCGGTATCGGTATCGACGTATTGGTTTCGCTCTTTTGACAGACGCCTGACACTTCCCCCTTCTTGAGCGGCGCTGTCAAGCCCGCCATCTTGGGTTTGTCTATGGGCTGGCCCATCATGGAGAATTTCGTTGCGTCCGTTATTTTGACTGTGACCATCTTGCCCATGTATTTGTCTTCTTTTGGCACGAGAACTTGTTCGTAGTACTCGTTGTGGGCCACGAAGTAGTTTTTGTCGTGGGATACGTCGGTCACGAGGACCTCTTGCGTCTCGCCGACTTTGTGGCCGTACGGTTCGTAGGAGCGGAAAAGTTCGGAGAGCTGCTTGGTGCGTTTCTTTACTTCTTGTCCTGGCACCTGTTTGGGAATAATCGCCATAGTATAAAAGAAAACTGATCATAAAATATTATTAATTGAAAATAAAATACTGCCTCATCAGGTGCGATTTTCTAAATTGATACTTTACTAAAGTACTTAAACATTGATAACTCTGTGAAAAGAGGTTCAAGTCCCACCACACATAAGGGCAGAAAAACTATTTAAAACTTATTTACAGACATTTTTGTCATTAAGGGAGGATTCGACCAAACAAGAGTAAATATTAATCTCAGAATAAATAGTCAGTTATTCGACATTTTGTCATATTTCCCATACAGAAACGGTCAATGTGCCAGTTATACCAGTAGTTATTCTCGGATAAAAGTTTGGTCGAATCGTACCTTAAGAAATATTATGGGATTAGATATGCCGATCACTTCATCTTTGATGATCTTGCTGAAAGGGAAAACTTTACATTTTTTATGCAACAAAAGATATTTGGGCAGGCCTCCTACTAGGTGGACCGACGATCTGGTAAAGGTCGTGGGAAGAGCCTGGATGCGGGCAGCGCAGGACCGTGCATTGTTGGAAAACCTTGGAGGAGGCCTTTGTCCAGCAGTGGACCTCATTTGGCTGAAACGAACGAACGAACGAAAAGACATTTGACCGCAATCACACCTGTTGATATATGAGATGCAGTCTAGGGTTACAATCATCTTGAGTTTCCTTACCCGGGTCATCTTAGCGGCCGGAGTCCCGGGCCTCGGGAAGAACTGGTTAATAAACAGCGAAGGGAACCGGTACTTGTCGCACAACCGGAGAGTGTCTTCAAAGTCGCGCTCCGTCTCCGTCGGGAAGCCACAGATGATGTCTGTCGCGATCGTCATGCCGGGCACGCTGTGGGAAACTGAGCTTTATTGCTAGTGACATAGCGTTTATATTGGCTTAACAAGATTCTGGGTATGCTAAGGGAAACTGGTATTTATTGCTACGAAGACGATATTTATCAAAATCAATGTGACGTCATAGTCGCTGCTAGTAACATAATGTTTATATTGGGTTAACAAGATTCTGGGGATGCTAAAGGAGTTTGGACTTTAATGCTAGGGAGACTTTTTATCAAAAGCTGTGTGACGTCAAAGTCCCGCTCCGTCTCCGTCGGGAAGCCACAGATGATTTCCGTCGCTATCGTCATACCGGGCACGCTGTGGGAAACTGAGCTTTATTGCTAGTGACATAGTGTTTATATTGGCAGTTTGGCATGCTAGGGCTGCTAAAGGAAACTGGTCTTTATTGCTACGAAGACGATATTTATCAAAATCAATGTGACGTCATAGTCGCTGCTAGTAACATAATGTTTATATTGGCTTAACAAGATTCTGGGTATGCTAAAGGAATTTGGACTTTAGTGCTAGGAAGACGATATTTACAAAATCAATGTGACGTCATAGTCGTGCTCCGTCTGTGGGGAAGCCACAGATGATGTCGCGATCGTCTTGCCGGGCACGCTGTGGGAAACTGAGCTTTATTGCTAGTGACATAGTGTTTATATTGGGCTAATAAGGTTCTGGGTATGCTAAAGGAATTTGGACTTTAGTGCTTGGAAGACGATATTTATCAAATGACGACATAGTCGTGCTCCGTCTCTGTGGGGAACCCACAGATGATGTCGCTATCGTCATGCCGGGCACGCTGTGGGAAACTGAGCTTTATTGCTAGTGACATAGTGTTTATATTGGCAGTTTGGCATGCTAGGACTGCTAAGGGAAACTAGTCTTTATTGTTACGAAGACTTTTTATCAAAAGCTGTGTGACGTCATAGTCGTGCTCCGTCTCCGTGCCCACAGATGATGTCGCTATCGTTAAGGCAGGCACGCTGTGGGAAACTGAGCTTTATTGCTAGTGATATAATGTTTATATTGGGCTAACAAGACTCTGGGGATGCCAAAGGAATATGGACTTTAGTGCTAGGAAGACGATATTTATCAAAATCAATGTGACGACATAGTCATGCTCCGTCTGTGGGGAACCCACAGATGATGTCGCTATCGTCATGCCGGGCACGCTGTGGGAAACTGAGCTTTATTGCTAGTGACATAGCGTTTATATTGGGTTAACAAGGTTCTGGGTATGCTAAAGGAATTTGGACTTTAGTGCTAGGGAGACTTTTTATCAAAATCTGTGTGACGTCATAGTCGCGCTCCGTCTCTGTCGGGAACCCACAGATGACGTCGCTATCGTCATGCCGGGCACGCTGTGGGAAACTGAGCTTTATTGCTACTGACATAGTGTTTATATTTGCTTTTTAAAAGTCGGGGATCTTGACATCCCCTGAAAACCCCTTGGAAAATGGTCTTTAGTGAAATTTAACCTAGCTGGAATGCGACTCTCCCTCCCACTGTCGGCCGTTTGGTGTAGTGGTTCGAAACGGACTACTATTCCGGAGGTAGCGGTTTCGATTCCCGCACAGTACAAACATTTGTGTGCATGAACATATTTGTTTGTATTGGACTGGGTGTTTTCTTTGTATAAGTAATAAGTATGTATTTACAAAAAAAAAATAGGTATGTTTATATCGGTTGTCAGAAGCGCAGTGTAAAATGCCCAAGGATATTTATTATTTATTTACTTACCACTTATTTTCTATTTCGTCAAGTCAGGTATGTTAAGAGAAACTATCATTGGACTTACGGTATCAATACAATAGAATTCAAACTTACTGCGTCCTAAGGAATTCAACAACATGCTCAAAGTCGGCTCTAGAATATTCTCTCTTCATGTCTGCTAGCACCTGATCACTGCCGGACTGCACTGGGACGTGTAGGAATCTGAAAATAAGGAGTTTCTATTTGAATTAAGAACTGTATGAGCTTGAGAATAAGGTTCAAGTAAACAGGCTCATTTTCTTTGACCAAACGCTTCTGGATGTTGGTTATCCCAACTCGCTATCATTGTATTGGCGACCGTAAGACCGTGAACATAAGGTTCACAATGCACACTAACTTTTAGACCTTCGGGTGGTGCGTGACCACGGCCAAGTTCTCTACGATATAACGCAGGTTGATAATGCCGAACCGATGTCCTTCCAAAAGCCATCGTACGGCCTTAATGATAAGGTTCATCATAACGCACTGAGTCACTCGGGAGAGGTACATTATCTTGGCCAATACAGAAGTGCTCGAGGAGGTTGTTATAGCAATAGCGACCGTACTGCTGTAAGTATAAGGTTTACAACACTACACCACTCACTCTACACTCACTTGTAGACTCTCGGGTGGTGCATAATCTTGGCGACTTCAGCCAAGTGCTCAAGTATACTATAAGCTGCTATCATACTAACGACCTTATGGCCGTGAGAATAACGTTCTCAATACACTTACTTGTAAACTCGAGGGTGGTGCATAATCTTGGCCACTTCTGCCAAGTGCTCAAGTATGTAGGGCGGGTTGGTCATGCCAAGTTGCTTCACATTAACCACCTTATAGTGGTGAGGATAAGGTTCAGAATTCACTTACTTGTAAACCCGAGGGTGGTGCATAATCTTGGCGACTTCTGCCAAGTGCTCAAGAATATAGGGCGGGTTAGTCATGCCAAGTCGCAGCCGGCAGCCTTCGGGAATCACTTCCACTAGCTTCCACAGCAACTCGGGCAGAGATGTGCCGATGTCGCGACCGTATGTGCCTGGGAATAGAGGTCAATATTCAATATACAATTATTTTAACGTAATTTAAATATTGTTCTAAAATCATATGTTTAAACATAACCAAAGTCAAAGGGCTTGTGGTGTGGTTGATTTTGACAACATTCGAAACTTCAGATAACGTTTTTCGGAGTAACCCGCTGCTTGAGGCAGCCCGTGTTGATAGGATGATCTCACATTTTTTATGCAGAACAAAGCTGGTATTTGACTGCAATGACCTGACGTTAAGTGAGATGCAGTCTAGGACATACGCGCCCTTAAAGTGCCTATTCACTCTCGTTTTGAGGAAACTCGAATTATAGTGCTCGGAATAGACAGCAGCATTATCTCTATGAGCGGGTTCTTGCGGACTTTGGATATAGCTTTCTCTCCAAAATTACTGAATCTCTCCAAAATTACTGAATTCTCTCCAAAATTACTGAATCGTGTGTCTTAAAACAGTTATCATCACATTTCTCTCAAAATAACCTTCTTAATGCATTTCAGTCGGGCTTTCGTCCGTCTCATAGCACTACTACCGCTTTGCTTAAGGTTACAGAAGATATTAGAGAGGGTATGGAAGATTCTAAAGTTACTCTTCTAGTCTTAATTGATTTCTCCAATGCTTTTAACACCGTGGATCATGACCTTCTCTTAGCCGTACTTTCTCAACTAAAAGTTTCTACCCCAGCTTTAGAATGGTTTCACTCATACCTCCACGGC